CTAACATCTCTCAAGCTCATTTATGTCTAGTTTCCTCTTGTGGGCTCTAGTTCGATTGCATATCATTTTGATCATTATCGTTTCTACCGTGTTGTCTAACTTCCAGCATGGTGTAGTCAGTTTGCTCATTGTTCATTTTAGTTAAAGCCTCCGAGGTCTGGCACAAGTCTCGTCTCGTATGGATTTTTATGTTAGTGAGAGTTTGAACTTTTTAAGATGGGAGACTCCAGGTCAAAGCTGCATATATTAACACATGGCCTATAGGATTCATAAATCACATGACTTGTTCAGTGAATAATTTGTGTAGGCATCATCATAATGAGTGTTACCACAGAGCAGTGAGTGTAGGACAGGCAGATCATGTAAACGTTGCGAATATGTAAACCAGTATTGTTATTGTTTCACAAGTAGCGACTTCTAAAATCCAGATCATATCATTCTGGACACATTCCAGATTTCCAAAACATTGGTTTACATATTGACAGTTTACATTCTTTTTAACAATTCATTAACCTTGCATTCATACCAAAGAATGTATTTTTTGTAGCTTATTTGAGCCGAGTCATCTATTGATGGCAAAGACAATGCTATGAATTCATAATCTGCCTGCTCTATGCTGGTTGTTGTGGTGGCACTCATTCTTTTTGTTATAAATCTCCAAATTTGCAGTAGTTTCTTGTAGCAAATGATAAACATATATTTATGCGTATTTAAACACTAATATTTTCAGTATAATTACAGTAATGATTTTATGGACATTAATAATACATTCTTTAGAAAATGTGTAACATACTTTTCCACTTGACTTTAACATATGCTTGTCTTGTGCTTATCTCCTCTGGTTATCTAGGTCTGCACTTCCTTTTACTTCTAGGATTTCCCAAGTAGTTACACATTGCCATGTGGAGGGGTGTCAGTAGGTGGGGGTTGTAGTGAATAGAAGATGATTACTTTCATCACATGCCTTACATGTTTCCAACCCCTCTCAGACTCGTGTAGTGTGCTACGAGGCCCACGAGATGGGCTGTCCTGGAAGACCCGTTTCTTTTACTCATGAGTAACAGCTCCCTGATAGTTTTGTGGCTTCTGATGAGCTGGGCCCCATCTCAACTCTGCCCCTGATCATGAAGATAGTGGTATTATTTACTACAGGGAAGTGGTAAGTGTTATTCACAACCCTCCATTAAGTACAGAAAGGTAAAGATAAGAATATGATAAATGCAACATATTATGCCTGAAGATGATAGAAAAGGTGGCCACTGTGGTAAGGAGAGCCAGAGCAAAGATACTAATGCATAGGGATATTAACCAGAGGGTAATAGACTGATCAACAAAGGATCTTCATTGGGTGGAGACAAAAAATGGAGAGCAAGGTTTGTGGACACTAGACAAACACTGCCTGTGGCAGCATATCAAGGAGCCAACAAATGAAACAAGTAATCTACCAGTCCAATTATCTGGAGATTTTTGGCAATTCCAACCAGAACCTCACTAATGCACATCAGTGCAGCCAGGTGCTCAGCTCGTTCTTGAGAGTGGACTTCAACAGGTGTGCCATATACTGTACCTTGGGACAGGTGGGATTAAAGTCAAACTGAAGAAACATCGAGATACTGTACAACTAGAGGTGAACAACTGCTTGCTCATTGGTATGAAGATCCTAAATATTTTGTCGATGTACAGTGGTACCTTGGATTACGAGTTTTTCAGGTTACGAGCAGGATTTGCTCTGAAAATTTGTATCTGGATACGAGCGTTGCCTCAGGATACGAGGGTGTTGATACGCGTACAGGCCGACCTAGCACGTGGTGGCACGGCGATCGCCACTTGGTTTGCCAGTGCCTCGCACCTAGTAAATAAAATAAATAAATAAATGTTTATTTAGGTAAGGTACATACATACAAGAAATTTTTACAAAGATTGGTGGACTTATAGATAGAGCTAGTACATACAATGCCTAAAGCCACTATTACGCAAAGCGTTTCGGGCATGAAAAACTTAATTGACTAAAGCTTAATACTAATTGAGCATAAAGAGTAAAATGAAAACAAGAAATGAAAACATAGCTGAAAAAGCAGCACAAATACAATTCTGTCGACAAACAGCGTTCTTAAAAAAAAAAAAAAAAAAAAAAAAAAGACATTGGTTGACAATAGAGGGGTAAGGTAGGTTACAGGGAATTTATTAGGTATAGCTTCGTTTTTATCTTAAACTGGTTGAGAGAGGTACAGTCTTTAACATGGTTGGGAAGGTCATTCCACATTCTGGGCCCCTTGATTTGTAGAGCATTTCTAGTTTGATTAAGTCGTACTCTAGTGACTATCCCGCCTCAATTATTCACCAAGATTTACAGTGTTCTGTTGAATATTTGGCCATTTGAACATAAAAGTTGTTATTATATATCTCACAATGGGTCCCAAGAAAGCCAGTGGTAAGGTTCAACCTAAGAAAATAGTTGCGAGTAGAGGATGTCCCTTCCCCATGAAGAAAATGTGTGAAGTATGGGAAGAACTGCAAAGTTTTGTTGAAAAAAAAACTCTCCCAGATAAAGCTGTAGCAGGCCGTTGCATTGACCTTTTAAATGACAATGTGCTGTCTTACTACAGACAAGTGTTAAAATGTAGAGAAAAACAAGTGTCTTTAGACAGATTCTTAGTAAGACAAGCAAGCAGTGAGCCACAAGCAGGTCCTAGTGGTATGCAGGCAAAATGTGCCAGAAAGTGCACACCAGAGAAGTCCTCACTAACTGATGTTATAATGGAAGAGGATTCCCCTTCCAAACAGTAACACCTCTCCTCCTCCCCACTCCTCACCATCTTCCATACACCAACAACAGTCATCAGCAAGGGTAAGTAATAACTTGAACATAGTTTTGTAGTGTAGATTTTGATGAATCGGGTATAAAATTTAGTTTGAAGCGAGGTTTTTGGGTAGTGAGGAACGGATTAATTCATTTCCCATTATTTTTTATGGGGATATTAGCTTCGGTTTAAGAGTTTTCGGGTTACGAGCTGTCTCCAGGGACGGATTAAAAACTCTTAAAACGAGGTACCCCTGTACTTGGATCAAATATATTGTAGAATTTGGGAGTGCATATATACTTTAATGGTGAGCACGACACCGAGGAAACACTGGCTAGGGGAGGGGGTGCAGATATGGTGCCCTCATGACAATCTAGAAATCGGTAAGGAATGAAAGGCTGGTCACTTTTGGTGACATAGTAATAGCCACTGATAGTGAAGTACTGCCACAGAAAGGGCAGGGACAGGGCGATGATCAAGGGCTAGGGAAAAGTCAGGGCTCAACATGGTTAACTGCACCACTAGGGAGCTTCTTTCTGGGTACTGGGGTGGGGGGACAAATCTTCTAAGGTTGGGCTCATGGATAAGACTTATCTGCAGAATGTTAAAAAATATTGAAATGGAAGAAAAGTCAGCAAAACAGGTGGAACTCAACACAAATGCAAGAAAGTAACAGAAGAGTCCATACCTCTAAGGAGAGAAGTGGATGAAAGGAGAACAGGAAACCCATGGTTCAACTGTGTGAGGGAAAGAGGGGGAAAAAAAAAAAGATTAAAACTTTATAGAGGCAAATAGGGAGGCACTTGAGAAAGAACGATAACACCAGAATCAGGAAGGCAGCAGTTTGAAGCATAGCCAAAAAAACAATGGTACAAGACCATGTGGTTCAGACTTAGGGACAAGAAGAAATGCGCTATGAGAATGACAGTGTTAAGAACTCGGCAAAAAGGTTCCAAGAGGTCTTAACTGGAACCAGATTGATATCCAAGGAGAGATGACAGCAGGCAGCCAGAAACACTAGACAAAATTTAAGTAAATATAGAAGGGTTTATCAGGTTAAAAAAAAAAAAAAAATCTAGCAATAGTAGAAACATACCAGATATCACCAGTTACTGAAGGAAGCTGTGCAGGAGCTTGTGTTGTTCATTAACTGTAGTGTTCATTACACTGTAGACAGAAGTGACCAGAAATCTGGGAAAAAGGCAGGTGTAGTTCCACAATTCAAGAAAGATCACAGACATGGAGCATGATAGAATATTGTCATTAACTTGCCTTACATTAAAAATACTGGAAAAAATCATCAGGAAAGGGATTTTAGAACATTTGGAGAGGAGAAATTTGAAAACTGCTTCACACTAAAAAAAAAAAAAATTATATAAAACTATTGAATTCTACAAGTCTCCAAAATAATTTTGAAAGTGGCAAAGCATTGCTTTTTGGGTATCCAGATACCAGATAGTCATATCTTTAAAAAGAGTAATTTCAGACAGCTTCATTAGTAACAAAGGTTTTCCTTAGTGCAACATTTTTCAACATTTGTACTTTTGAAATAATTCCAGGTCATGCTTAAAACACAGATTTCACTGTCAACTGAAAAATAGCCTTTCCTCTTGATACTGGTTAAATGAGAAAAATTATATGACTAATATGCCAATCCTCATCATATGCAAATGTGTATTTTTTTATCACTATCTCATTTGAAACCTTTAGTTACCTTTGGGTTATATGGAACCCTGGGCCAGGATTCAACACTTATGCATCTACTGTACTTATAAATCTCCACATCTCTCTGGTGGCTTTGTTTACATTTATTAAATAGTTTATAAGCATTGAAACTTCCCAATCAAATACTTGTAATTGTTATAAACAGCCTCATAATGCTTTGGTGCTCAAACTGTTTCTTAGATTAAGGACCTGCCCGAAACGCTGCGCGTGCTAGTGGCTTTACAAGACTGTAATTACCATATTTGTATCCTCACATTCCTTATGTACATTCTTGTATATGCATAAATAAATAAATAAATAAGCAAAGCCACCAAAGATTGATAGAAAATGTAAAGTTTGCAAGTATTTGCATAACTGATGAATCTGGTCCCCTGGTTGAGAAATGGTGCTTCAGTGTTACGCAATAATGCTGCAAGTTGATACACTAAAGGATTACTATGGAACTTAAGAAACAAGGATTCCATAAAAATTATGCAAGTATAATTATTTATTTCTACACTTGTACATTATCTTACCTTATAATTAAGAACATATTAACTGCAATGCAGGAAATAATTCATAGGGAGTTTATTCAGTTCCAATGCAAATTTTTAAAATGGGTAAAACTTTATAAAACCAAATATGATCAATAACACATTAGCTCAGACTTTAGATGTTTTAATAAGCAAAACAACAGCTACAGCTATCTCAATTTAAGGCATAATTCAAATGTTTTAGCAACTATTGTACTGCATGAATGTTCACTGCATACAAATTATTGTCTTAAGATGTACTTATGTTGATCTATTCCCCCCCCCTCCCCTCCAATTAAAACATTTATACTAAACTGGCTAAATCAAAATTACATTATAATACTGTTTATTGTGCTAATAGTCTTAACTTCATTACTGTGTTAAGGTGTACTAGTGCAAGTCAAATAATACAAACACACAAACGTATTCATTTATGAAGGGATTCTGACAGCCTTGAAAGATTTTTGCCACATCAAATCAAGTAGCTAAGTGGTAAAAAATTTAAAACTTACACCGATTTTTGCTATGGAAAAGAAATGATGAATTATGGTGAGATCTGTACACGAGGTGAATATATGTTATGTATGTGGTTAAGTTCCTAGTGTGAAAGCTCTCTGGTAAATACAAGACCAAATATGCACAATTTCATGTATTTTTTACGATACAAGTACGGTATATCTTATTAAAAAGACATTGTACTCTTCGTAGTATTATAATGTAGAGGTACTGATGTCGCATCTACATGGTATTGAAAACTATCAGTTTTCACAATAGTAACTTTCTTAGGTGTATTGTAACATTTTAAAGTCAATGGCCCATCTTCACTGGACTTCCATTTTAGCTCTAACTTTGGCATGAATTTTTTCAAATTCACAAGCAGGGGTCTTCTCATTCTCTATATCCTTGTTTTCAGCCTTCTCCATCTGTGGCAAAAAAACAACAATTAAGTGCTCTATCCCTTCTAAGTATACAAGGAAATAAAGACAACTGAAAACCTTAGGGGTAATACAGAACATAATTATTACTAACTTTTTTGAATTGCAAGATAAATGTAGATACATATATTTTTGTCAAATTATTTTAGATGTTTATTGTCAACAGTTTGAAGTACAGTATTCTAGATTGACCAGCAGGAGCCCACAGTCCTGAGTATATTGTGCTCTGGACAGATCCTTTACTACCTTTCCCCATAATTATTAAAATTAAATAAAATAGTCTGAAGATTTTGTACCTCTTAATAAATGGTATAATAATGGATTACCTGTATGTTTAATTGGAATTTACTGCATGTTTAATAATAAAAAACTAAAAGGAAAATATTTAGAAAAAAAAATCAAACTAGAAATTCTTACCGGCATGAGTTGAACTTTGAAAAAATGTGAAATACACACAGGCACTCAGTTGTGTTACAAAAGTATACAGCAGCTAGAATTACAACTAAGGTACCAAGGAAAATAACCAGATGAATGGCTCGGTCTCAACAGAAAAAACTGTAAACATGATCAACCTGCAATAAAGCTAATACAGTACTGTATATGTGTGTGCACAAACATTTTGATACCCTCATCAGAAGCAGAATTAACTATATGCTGTAATAATTATGACAGTAAATGTAAATTAAAGATCTTAAAAATTAGAAGGGAAGATCTATAAACAAATATGTTTGCCATATTGATGAAGTTAAATGCCTGCATCACAGAAATTGGAAGCAACATCTGAAGTACATTGCCATCTCTAATAGACATCTCTGTACTTGTTCTTGTACCAAAGAACTAACTCTTCTGGTAACTACAGAGCAATTGTCCTAAACACACTATTAAACAAAGTATTTGATTATATATTCATCGACTTTCTAGCTGATGAACTGGACACTGATTTTCAGTTTGCATACAAATATGTTTACTCAACACCACACTTTAGTTTCATTGGTGGCAGAAACTACTTGTTCCTACAACTCGCACGGTAGCTCTCCTCTCTCTCAACGTTTCTAAAAATTGACAAAGTTGAACACGCCAAACTTTTTACTGGAATTGCTCAAGAGAAAAGTACATCCTGTCATTGCCAGATAGTATCTATCTTATCAGGTGTATCAAACGTCAAGCAATTTTTAGCCCTATATTTTTCGCTGTCTATCTTGATCTATTGTTGAAAAAGTTAAGAGCCAGTCGAGCTGGTTGTCGCATAATGGAAATCGTGATAGGAATATGTGAAAGATATAGTGCTGAATACAAACTTACTGTACTTTCAATTTAGCCAAATGTGTTTTAATTCACATTAATAACTTAGCCCAACCACTTGGGCTGGACGGTAGAGTGACTGTCTCGCTTCATGAAGGTCAATGTTCAATCCCCGTCCGTCCAAATGATCGGACACCGTTCTTTTCCCCTGTCCCATCCCAAATCCTTATCCCAATGCTATATAGTCGCAATGGCTTGGCACTTCTGATAATTCCCTCCCTCCAACTTACAGGAGTTATTTTATATTTGATCCTAAATTAAAATAACTAGTCAGATTCTGGTAAAGTATTCCAAAAAGAATCTGAGGCATAATTTCCTCAAAGGGCCAACGTGTCAATTTTTTTGTATGCTATTAAGAGACCTAAAAGTTTGAACAAATGTCAATTAGAGTGAATTCAGTCATTTCGACATCGGGTCGTAAGTAAAGTCGTTTAACAGTGGTCCAAGTCTGTATGGATGTGAACAGCGGGATCTTCAAAATGCCGATTTTGGCAAGTTTAATTGTGAATGGAGGAAATATTCAAGGCGATTCTTTTGTGTCCATCCTCACACTTTTTACAATCTCTTATTAGGCCTAATGTCCACAACCACATTTTAAGAAACTGTTCACAAATGAAATATTGTCTGAAGGGAATCATCCATCCAGCAAACTCTAAATTCATTTTTCAGGCACTCTTGTCACTGGCCAGACATATAAACTTAATTGTCAGGAATTACAACTTTAGAATGAGTGACAATTGTGTAGCAGGTACAGTATACAAGATAGAAAATCAGCAGAAGCAGGGACACCACCAGTTAGATAAGTGGAACTGTAAAGGAACTACAGTACTACTGCAAAGAGATGGCTTACCAACAGGCATTTGGAGTTTTATGGAAGTCAGATCTACGTTGCATGAACTGTATGTTGGGAGTGATTTTGAACCCGGATAACCCTAGAATCTACTGATTGAGGGCGTGAAATTTGTCTTTTATAAATTCATTGGATTATTAATTTATTTCTTCCCTTAAATTGTATTTTTATCACCAGATATTTAGATTGTTGTTTTTTAAAAGTTTTTCTTGGCTAAATAATTCACTGTAAACTTGTGTAATATAACTATTAATGTACTTAACAAGACATTTATGAATAAAATTCATGAATTTGAAATGCTTAACTCAAAACATTTTGAGAGAGTAAAATTTGGAACCGTCAGACAATACGAGGATGATTCAGTATTGCTACCCCTCTTGCTAAATTAAAAAAAAACAAATTACAGACTGCATTACATAATCCTGCATGTCTTGCCTTCACCATATTAACCTCGACACACTAACACCGCCCAACTTTCGCCTGGCTGACTACACCCCCTACACCCTCTTATCCTTCATAAACGTTTGCAATATTGTGTTACATTTTATAGCCCCATTACACATGAACCGTCTTTTAAAAATAAAATGACTCGCATATTTGTGTTTCTCATCACTCAGTACTTTCTTCAGCCAAGTGTGGATTCAAGTGAATCCAAGATGTTAGAGAGCAAGACAAAGTCAGGAAATTTTAGTGTGTGAGGGTTTAAGCAACAAGGTAAAAACATGCTATGAAATTAGTTTATTGAGAGGGCTTAATCTGAAGCTTTTAGGTTCTGCTGTAGTGGGCATGGGTTTTCTATGATTAATGTGATTTGAATAAATGGATAATATTTTAGTACTGCATTGTTTTACTCTATTCAACTCATTATCAGTATAAGTCTCCCCCACACCATGGATGTTAAAAATAGGATAAATTAGTCATGGGCAGATAAAACAAATGCATGTACAATATAACTGCTATGGAACTTATCACCACAACTTGAGCCCCATTACAATAAATGTAACATGTAAATGATGTGTAGCCCATTCCCAGCAATGTCTCGACACAGCACCCACTTCATAACCAAATTTATTTTATAATCTCCCAGTTATCAGTTAATCTGATAAAGTGGCCATTCAGCTTTATATGTCTAGTGCACCCCAATCTAGACTACTGGTACTATATTTACCTGAATTTACCGAAGGGCCACTAACACTAGTTGGCCTCGACAAGGACAGGAAGCCAGCAGCTTGTCACCCCCCGTATTCCCTAATATCTAACTTATCAACCAGTCCTCTGGGAGGTAATCACTTCAAAACCACTATGTGATTAGTGCTTTTATCTATTCCCTATTCATTGGCTGGTAAGGTTTAGTTCAGTAAATATGGGGTAATGTTAAACGTGTAAAATATGAAATTCTAATATATTTATGTATACCCTTTAATTTTATTTTCAAAAAACTAAATTCTTCAGATCATTTACAAAGAAAATATAAATAAAAAAATATAAATATATTAAAAAAATGAACTAAGTACTGTATAGACATATTTTAAAGTAAATTATAATACAATAAAGTAATAACTTGACTTACAGTACTGTAATCTGTTTAAGACAAATGTTCACTCGCCAGTTTACAAGTAGATTATTGGAACCGTAATATGCTTTCAGATAAATCATAAATATATAGCTATATATCCAAATGCTTAACCAGGGAATTTCACCTTGAGAATGACCTGATGCATCGAGACCTCACCTAAAAATAGTTGCTTCCTCTGGGGTTCAGTCCCTGAGCCCATTATGTGCCTCTGTAACCCTTTCTACTACCGCCCACAAGATGGGTATGGGGTGCATAATAAATGAACTAAACTAACTCTTATGCCAGGTTAGATATATTGAAAAGTGAAGAGTATTTAGCCTGCTCAATATAAAAATTATATAAAATCTGCCCCCCCACATGCCAACCCGTTCTCGCAAATTCGTAAAGTCAATTATTGACTTATTAACTACGTGCATAGGTGATATACTAAACATAATAGATACCCCTAAAAAGATTCATAGAAAACACCGACCTTACCTAACCTTGTTAGTATCTTAAGATAAGCATCTTATTGCTTCGTAATTACAATTATTACTTAACCTATACCTATTATAGGTTAGGTAATAATTGTAATTACGAAGCAATAAGATGCTTATCTTAAGATACTAACAAGGTTAGGTAAGGTCGGTGTTTTCTATGAATCTTTTTAAGGGTATCTGTTATGTTAAGTATATCACCTATGCACATATTTAATAAGTCAATATTGACTTATTAAATTTGCGAGAACGGGTTGCACATGCACTGACGAGTTGTCAGTACTTTGGCCCTCATCCTAGCCTGGTAAATAGATGCCTAATTCTGGGAGGATTTGTTGAACTTTCCTCATGTTTAGAAGATACAACTTCATCGAAACGAAACAGACAGCAATAAAGTAGATTCAACTTTACTTATATTACCTTGTAGTATTAGTAAGCATAACTCATTTAAATACAAATGATCACATGAAAATGTGGTCAAACTCGCTAATGAATGTTTAACTTCGCAAAATATTAACCAATAATTAATTTGTTAAGCCCACAAACCTGTTCAATCTTCTGAGCTCGTTCATCAAGAGCTTTTTGGAAGGGAGTCAAAGATGCTTGCTTTTCTTTCTCTTGTTCCTTCAAAACCTTTTTGTCATTGTGTTTCTCCATTGCCTTCTGTAGCTCACTTTTTTGGTTGAGAATATTTACACCCCTGAAAACAAAACAAGAAATTGGAACACACCACAGTAAATCTGAAATTGCAGCATCAATAACTGAAGCCTGGAAAGAAGGAATGGTGCCCAACCACTTGGACGGTCGGGAATTGAACGCCAACCTGCATGAAGCGAGACCGTTGCTCTACCGTTCAGTCCAAATGGTTGAGGTGTGTTTTTTCCAACTGAAGCCTAGAAGTGTAAAACGTATTAGTTGAGAACGTCCAGTGTCTAGAGGAGTCAAGATGAAAGTACATTATACTTCAAGAGATATAGAATTAATTTTGATCAAATACAGTACTGTACTTTAATATCTTAGAACTAGAGTGTAAACCCTATTTTCTGTAGGTGCATGAGAATGCTTTTTTTTCAAAGATATTTACAAGTGTAAACAATCTCTAGTACACCCGAGGCCTAAAAATGCAAAATTAATTCCATGTTAAATGGAGAGTCATCAAGAATGGGAAAAAAAGCACTTCACCAATGTCAACTTTCACCAATTTTGTTGAAGGTTCATGAACAAATCTACAAGGGCCGTGATGCAGCCATCTGATGCATCACGCTATTGTGATTTGTGTGTGTAATGAAGGCTCATCTTTGAATTTTTCCTTCAAGATTAATTCCTACCTTTTATCTTTCATCCAGATTAGCACTCTGGATTACGTTGAAACTTACAGGTGTAAACCCTATCTATGCGCGTGGCAAATTTCGTACTAAAAGCATTGTCGAGATAGTGATAACATCCCTTGAATTATTAGTTTATAAAATTAAACTGCTACTAGGGAAATATACATCAAATTTTGTATCTTACAGTTTTATAAAATGATTCTAAAGCACATTCATCACAACAAATTTTAAGTTATTCCATGTATGTACAGTAGCAAGTTTGGGGAGGTTTCTGCAGTTCATTGTTGTGATATCGTAAAACTAAGAATCTCTCAGATTATAGTGAAGATCTTGTCTACCATAATACACTATACCTACTCGCCTAGTTGTGGTTGCAAGGGGTCGAGTTTCGGGCTCTTTGGTCCCGCCTCTCAATTGTGGATCAACTGACATGCAAGTTCCTGAGCTTATTGGGTTCTATCATGTCTACATTTGAAACTGTGTATAGAGTCTGCCTCCACCACATCAATGCCCAATTCATTCAATTTTCTCTATTAACTATTAGTAACTATTTGACACTGAAAAAAATTATTATGTCTTTGTGGCTCATATGAGTACTAAGCTTCCACCTGTGTCCCCTTGTTCGTGTTCCGCCCATGCTAAATAGTTTATATTTGTCTACCCTGTGAATTCCTGAGAATTTTGTAGGTGTTTATTACGTCTCCCCTTACTCTTCTGTCTCCCAGGGACGTGAGAATTAATTCCTGTAGCCTCTCCTCGTAGCTCATGCAAAAATCATTTTAAAACTATGGAAACTATTCCACAACAGTCAAATCAATTTTGACCCATTGTCGGGAATAGGAAGCCTGTACTTGGGCTTTTATCGAGGTCCAACTTCGGACCTTGCCCAGGATGCAATATTCAAGAGTTGCTGAACTCTGGTACCTATTTACTGCTGGGTGAACAGAGGCATCAAGTGAAGGAAACATGCTGAATGAGCACGTGATTTTGCTTGAAACGCTTTGCATGTTGGTGCATTTATTTAATATGCGCCCCCCCCCACCCTGTACCTACATACCCCTCTGCAATATTCTTAAATATATTTCAAGAATAACAATTGTGTATACAAGCTAGAAAAAGTCAATACTAAGTACATTGACAGTATAATTATATCACATCTTACCTCTTTTGATTGAACATTAGTTCTCTGTGGAGATTCTTCTTGTCCGAGGATTCAAGGTAAGGGTTGACGAGCTTCTTGGGCATTATGAGACCTCTTTCATCTAGTCGTCCCTGGCCGGAGTGTAACTTTTCTTGCTCTTTGTTGTTGCTGTTAGATAGAAAAAAATATAAGGCGTATAAAAAATTACCAGACTAATAATGAACATGTTATTTCCGAGAACACCTGAGCATCTTTTACTCTTCTTGCGAGGAAATCTACATGATTGCCAAGCCATAAACAGAACAAGAATGAAAATAATTAGTCTAAAGAATAATAATAAACTTGCGAAATGTTTTCACGATTTGATTAACCCCGTGACTCGACCTTTCTGTTGGGGGAACCCTTTAAGTATTTTGCAAAATCTCTCTTAAACCCACACTTGTCCAATACATTAGGTTTGCTATCCGTTCTAATCAACAATGACCAAATACTCGTTAAATCCAGCCGCTAAACTCCCTCTTTATGTATGAAAAAACTTTTAAACAAGACTCAATTGATGACGTATGTACTTTCCCGAACAGTGCTTCGTTCAAGTCCTCTGCACGAATCGCACCTAAATGCTTCATTTATGTAAATGTGTCACCCAAAAGAACCTAAACACTTAGGTGTTTAAACTAAAACTGCACAGTAGGCTTATATATAACATTAACTTTTATTTGAGAATCTTTTTCAAATATACAGGACGTTAAAATTTAAGGTCGAGATACCTCTTAGGTCGAGGCTTTAGGGTTACCGTTGGAAGGAAGAGTACTGCCAGAGGACGGGTCAAAGGTTCTACGCGGGTAAATTACTAAATAGCCGTAAAGTTGTGGGGTTAATCAATAAATAACTTACTTTTCAATAAATCTTTACCAATTTCCATTTACTAATCCTTTAATAACAAAATGTGAAACATTTTCCACTATATATCTAGCTTACCTGTTAAAAGTTTTGTAATGATGTGTTAGTATTTTTCTTTTTATAACAAAAAAAAAAATCCCATTTTATTGTTTTACAATAATTGTCTCCATAATTAATGTGAAACTTGGGCTCGTTTTACCACAATTTAATATTTTGTTGCATCATCGTTTTATTAATAGGTCACGCTAAAATATTAATCATTGCTTTTTTACCCAATTTCAAACAGATGGCAAACTACTTTTTTCGCAAGCTTTTGCAAATTATCGCGGAAACCACTGGCCTAGCCTCTCGCTCTAGTACATGACACGGGGAACCCACCTAATCTATGAAGATGCTTATAGTCCAAGGAAGCGTAATCAAGTAATAACGTGCTTGTCTTGGAAGCTAGACGTAGATATACAAGAATTGAAAAGAGAGCATAGAATGTACCGTTTATGAACAAGTGACCTACAAGTATTACACACACCCATCTACAACACAACCAAGTGATATCCATAACAAAACTATTGCCATGCCTCCACGACGTAACACGAAGGCTCGCGTGTAGATAAAAAAAACTTACGAGTTGACCTGGTTGTTCCTTGCGACCATAGAGGTAGTTACTGAGGGCTTGGAGTCCGTCTCGTCGTCGCTGTAGTCAGGCTCGGGGATCATGGCTCCGTACACCACTTCTGCAACACACACATCACAGTTACTAACAGCACCAACACTGGTCCACACACACACATCTGTACACCTGTTGTAGGAATCTGTACACCTGTTGATTGACGGTTGAGAGGCGGGACCAAAGAGCCAGAGCTCAACCCCCGCAAACACAACTAGGTGAGTACAACTAGGTGAGTACACACTTCCAACACGCCAGTTCGTACTGTTACTCTTACCAACACTGTACAAATTAAACGAGTTGATCTTCTATATGGAAATGCTTACATTACATAAATATTTCGCAATGCCTTTACTGTTGCAATGTCTATTGCATAACGTGCCAGTTACATTCTGCACGTTTACATAAATCTGTTAAATATGTAACAACGTTCCACACGTTTGAGTAAGTGCATACCGAGAATACAGCAGCTATATTATAATTACACAATATATAATTATATATAATTATATAATTATATAAAATATAAAATATGTATATCTCTTAAAACAAAAAAGGTCCACCATGCAGAAGCTTAAATTAAACATGTACAAATTAAATTCGATATAAATTAACGATTACTATTAATAAGCGTGAGATAAGGTAACGAGGTTGGGCACCCCAAACTGATTTCCCCTCCCCCCCCCCCTCCCGCCACCAGGAGTACTCTCGTCAACTCAAATTAATGCTCTTATACACCAAAATAATACAATAAATTTATAATATACATATAAATTTATTAAAGTTGAGTCTTGCAACCGTTTTGAAGCCTCTAACGTTAACACAACAATACTATATATAATACAATAATCTTAGTTTTCAGTTTTGTCTATGTAATATCACCACTTTGCGGTGCTATTTCAGGAGCCTGAAATAGCACTTTGTAGTCTACCGTGTACAGCACTTCACGTAGCCAAATAAAGCAGGCTATGAACCAAAGCACTATTTACGATACACTAAACTAGCCAAACAACATTGTATAGTTGATCAATGCTGTCTAGAGTGTCAACATTTGAACATAATGTTTTGAAAATACATATTCAATTAGTATTATTGTATCCTAAACAAAATTATATATGGATATAATATTCATGTCGTGTAGGAGAACTGCGTCAGGTTAAATAAACAATGACAACATTAAGTAAGCGAAGACATAGCGACCAACAGTAGGCGTTGAAGAGCATCATAGCGTGGAGATCTTTACTATACTGTATAGTATAGTATATTACTGTATAGTATACTGTATAGTATAGATCCTGGGGACCATTCAGGCTTGTTCACACTATTCTGTATATAAATATATATATATACTATATCCCACGCTCCAGCCATGAGGCTACCAACACACTGGAAAAGCGGCAGGGGCGGCAAGGTCAGTACATGCAAAATGACGTTCGAGTGCGCCCCTAGAAAACTATACACAGTATATCGCCAGACAAGAGCGTGGGGGAGGGGGGGCGTGGGGGTGGGGGGGAGCGTGGGGGTGGGGGGAGCGTGAGTGGGAAGAGGCGCTACAAAACAGAACAGAAATTCCGTAAAATGGAATTATGGGTCGAGTATAAATGACGGGGATGATGTTAGTGTTAGGAAGTTGTGTTAAGCAGCACCACCACACTTTCCGCAAGATATATAAATGTCTCTTCCCCCCCCCCCCACACACAGCCCCACTCCTGTGCCAGATAAGTCCAGTATGGGCTCACCATAGCCCGTGCTGCTTGGAACTTTTTGTTCCTAGAAGCTGAATCTTGAAATTCCGCCCCCCCCCCCTTTCCTCCACCCGGCCGTCTGAAATTCGTCATTGGCAAATTTCACAATATTATACAGTATTTGCTAAGGGTTGAGATTCTCCCCTCAATCATGCTATTTATGTACGTGTGTAGTACAATATGGGCATTAAAAAGGTGTACTATAAATCACAGCGAGTCAAACATTCGCGTTCTCTCTCCGTGGGTCATTAGGTTAGGCTTGGTCCCAGCTTTTTAGTACACCATTTTCTGCCCGTTGTGGCAACTAGAGATCAGGTTGGAGGGTGTGGGTACAGGTACAGTTAGGATGAGGCTTTCAAAAGAACAGGCTACAGAGCTGAGTAAATATAACTTATTTAAACATTGCAAGAGAGAAGTTAACATGGGCAATACCGTCACGCTCAAAGATCATTCCTCTAATACAAAAACTGTATATTTAAAAACTCATGCAGTAACAAAAGTCACAAGACAAAAATTAGTCATTTTCGAAGAGGACAGAAAGCAATTAACATCAAGACGTAAATGTTTAGAAAACACTGACATTAATGTAAGTTTCCTTTGGCGTGAGTTGTCAACACAGCAAAATAATATTAAATTATTAACACTGAGGCAGAAAACTGAAATATTTACCATACGTATGGTAATGAAGCCTTGTGCCATGGTCTATAACCAACAAATAACCCAACCAACACATGAAATGACGCATTTCACGTGTCAGTTCGGTAATAAAAATTGGTACCGTGTCTCATGCTCACACCACAAGGTGGAAGTCGAGGATGAGGTCCAGAGGTGATGCTGGAGTTCTATATTAAGTGCGAGCAACTATGCTAAGGAGAGGCTGAAGGATGACGAGTATTGATATAGGGAGCCGAAGCAACTAGGATATGGAGGGCGAGGCTTGAGTGTTACCTCGACTGCCCTGCTGCTCGAAGAAGGCGAGCTTCTCCTTGATACTGGGAACCTCCTCCACGGGGGCACGTATATACTTCTTTAGTGGCATTTTATAAGTAACAAAAACAATATAAACGATTCTCCTTTTCACTGGTTGTATCCTAAAAATGTCAATCACAAAACCAGTTCAGTTCTCAGTTACAAGGATGGAAAAATAAAGAAGTATTAAAAGTCTTGTGGAGAGTAGAGGAAGACCAGCCCCCAGGTGGAGTCACTTGACGCAGCTGTGCTCGTCCCAGCCGTCTCGCACCACTGAAATAAAGAGTGAAGTGTTCAGACCGCCAGGAAGTGAAGGGCTACCTGTGTAAGTCAGACCACGACCCCACACAACGTCCCAACACCGTGGACCCCTCTCGCTTGTTTTTTCTTCATATATATACGTCCCACAGAGTTCAATACACAACTCACGAAACTTCACAAGTGAAAACAATACACGCTTAACGATACAGTAGCCTAACGATACACATGTTCTTGTATCTTAACGATACAGTAGCCTAACGATACACATGTTCTTGTATCTTAACGATACAGTAGCCTAACGATACACATGTTCTTGTATCTTAACGATACAGTAGCCTAACGATACACATGTTCTTGTATCTTAACGATACAGTAGCCTAACGATACACATGTTCTTGTATCTTAACGATACAGTAGCCTAACGATACACATGTTCTTGTATCTTAACGATACAGTAGTCTATCTTAAAATTGAGGCTTTAAGCTGCCACCTCCTGTTTGAGCAAGACTCGTTGAAGTGATCTCGATTAAAGTCTTCTAATTTGGTCAATAATTTTAAGTTTAGAATTTGTATTTCCGAGGCTATCTGCCTTTCCTCGAATGTTAAGACTTGGTCTGGACTGATTCTAGTCTCTCTGCGATTAATATCTTCCAGTCTAATACTGTAATGTCCTAGTATAGCTGTGCTCTCCATAAATGGAGTGGTATTCGCCTAGCTCGGGGCTGTTGTAAGTTAACCTGGGAGGGTCGACAAATATCTGGAGAGCATCCAGGTTTCCATGCTCCTCATCCATCTTCTTCAGTTATATGCATATGTATATATTTCATGAGGTACCCGGCTGTTCTCGGGTCTCGACCCCCCCCCCCTCTCACCTTTTCTATCCGTTCCATCTTTCTGCTCCCTCCCCCACCCTATGAAAATTTAATATTAGAGAAAACAGAGAAACGGCTAAAACTTTGTGAAAACAAATCCCCAAACATAGGAGCAGCATCTGACCAATTACACCATCAAGCTGACCAATTTACCCATTCGACCTCTAACTCTCGAGTCGCTCGCTCCTCGTATACCATCAGTCGTTTCCTCAATCGTATATACAATTATCATTCCACTCTAGATAAAAATCCTTGTAACCAAACGAATCTTATCGGCACCAAGGTAAACGAAACGTACATAATGCGTAAATACATTCGTGTGTGCGTGTGATAGAGTCGAGTGTATAATATCACTCTCTAGGCATTGAGACAAACTTTTTTCATCTGCTGTTAGAGTTGCATTTGACCTCTTGCATGTTTGCGCACACTACCGACACCTCACGTTAATGGCAGTCACCTCGAATGATCGTTATCCTGACCATCACTGTGAATGACCGTTATGGTATCCTGACGTCACCAGGAATGACTTCAGTAGACGCATGGGAGAGAGGATGTGGGAGATAATGGGAAGAAAGCGTGGAGTAAAGAGGATGTGGAGGGGGAACCATTGTGTGTTCCAGTCTTGTTCGTTTCACTTGGGTTAAGTAATTACTGATGCGGATTCGGCGCCGGTAAAACTCATACTAATGAGTTTAACCGGCGCCAAATCCGCATTCAGAATAAGAGATCATTCTTGCGTTAAAAATACTACTATTAATATTTAGAACTTCCAGAAAAATGACTAAATACTTCTACGACCACGCTGCGACTGTGGATTGAACTTTATAATTTCTTTTACAGTCGATTTCGGAACATGCGTCAAATTGCTTCTAGGAGCAAGGAATAGGCAGCTGGAGGCTAGCAGTGGCCTCAAGGCCGCCTGTAACCACAACAGGGCTTGGCTACCCGGGCTGGAGCGATCAATGATGCATAGCCAAGAAAGTCCTCCCCTCCCCCCATTTACAAACCTCCCACGCGGGTGGGGGGGGGGGGTGTGGTGGGGGCAGTTAGTAATCACCTGCACCCACACTTTTACTCCTGCACCTGTGTGTGGGGGGCGACCCCCGCCAGCACCCCTTCCTGACCCGTGCCAGCTCTCAATACCATGCACGGTTTGTTGCTGTTTTAGATTTAGCTACTCAGAGCGAAGTGTCCATGTAGCACGGGCTATGGCGAGCCCGTAAAGTCCATGCACGGGACTACACCTACGTTTATAGGTACTAACAATCGACCAGTCACTACATCTATATCTCTGTCTTACTGTGCGCCAAAGCGACGCAGCCTCCAGTAACTGTTCCTCTCTCATTGGCGAGGATGGGGGGGGGGGGGGAAGAATCTTTAAGGCATAATGATTCCCCCCTCTCCCCCCCCCCAGGGCAATTAGCAATCCTCCACAGGATGCAAACCACAACAGCTGTCAAACTCCCGTGTACCTAATGCTAGGCGAGTATATTTCACCATCAGGTGAAAGGAAATGTGTGCAAGCGTCTCTCACGACCCGGGCTCTTTCGGTTATGAACCAGCTGCGCTCATTGGCAACACTGCCAGCTGGAAAACGTGAAACACCACACCAGTAAAACGACCAAGTCTGGTCTCTGTAACCCTCTAGGTGTAATCAAGCTATTGAGCTATTTAGCTGCTCACCTGATTGATACTTTTGGTCGGACTCGTCACTAATTGCAACACAGATTAAACCAATTTCACTCTTTCTCCGTAAAACAATATAATGTCGAATCAAACTTTTTCCCAAATATTTTGAGTGCAACATGTGTTGTTTAAGTGTCAAAAGGCTGAAAGTCAATGGATTTTCGGCGAAAGTATTTTAACAATTTTAGCAGCAAAAAGGATAAATGTCTTAAACAACTGTCACATAACTGTCACGTGATTGAGGAGAAAATGGCACCAATTTAATTGGACTTCAATCCTGGCCTCGAGTTCCTCCTTGACCTTGTAAGAGGCAGGTGCAAGTCTAACAGCTGCTGCTGCAGCACCAAGCTCTACAGGTGTCTAAGGTAGGGAGTGGGCTTTATTACTGGATAGGCTGTGCCGAAAACAGACATCTGTAAACATGACAGGTGCGTGCGTGCGTGTGGCAACACTTTTTTGTGCGAACGAAATGGTTGTTGCTACTATACATTGGCTGTAAAATAACATTTTTAAATATATGCGTACCTATATACTTACAAAATAGGACAGCCTGAGACTACAAAATTTCAAAATGTTGAGCCATATACAAAAAATTATTTTAAATGTTGGAAGACATTCTATGTTACTAACCGAGTATGTCTAACTAAACAGAATGCAATGTTATATTTATTAAAAAAAATGGCGACTAATACTATTTTGAAAGGAGAAAGATAACAGTACGCACGTTTAAGTTCTAGTGAAGATTTGCATATTTAACACAGTTCCAGATGACAGAATTTGCATTTCGTCACTCGAATCTTAAAAAGAAAAATCTCAGCAAATCTGAACATTCAGCTTCACAGGAAGTTAATCATTACATCTTGAACCGTACTTTTAAAACTAACTTCAGAGGATATAAAAGCTCTTAGACCACTGTATAACATATGGCTGGTGAAAAAGGCGTATTGCCTGACAGCTGAATGGACAGCACTTCGGATTCGTAGTCCTGAGGTTCCGGGTTCGATCCCTGGTGGAGGCGGAGACAAATGGGGAAAAAAAAAAAAAAAAAAAAAAAAAATCACCCTGATGCCCCTGTTACCTAGCAGTAAACAGGTACCTGGGAGTTAGGCAGCTGCTACGGGCCGCTTCCTGAGGGGTGTGTAACAATAAGGAGGCCTGGTCGAGGACCGGGCCGCGGGGACGCTAAGCCCCGAAATCTCAAGATAACCGTATAGGAGTGAGAAAGACCATATAAAAGGGTCTTAGATAAAAACTGGGTCAAACACCCTTACGAGGAAATACCTCACACACAATATGACCACTTAAAATCTCAAACATGGACGCTTCTTAGCAAATTACAACTATGAATCTTTCAGCGAAAGGAACTATTGAAGATACATCAATAGCCTTCAGCTTACGTCCCCTCCCCTAACACACACGTGTTCCCAAGCACAGGTGGGGCCGATCGTGCATACAAATTACCTTGGAGCAGCAAAGATACCTGCTCCCACCTCCTGCACCCACTACCTCGAGGAATCGCATGCCCTTACAACACCGTCAAATGAGCGATATTACAGACCAGTTCACAGCAGCTCGCAAAGGCCACTTTACACTACTGCTACTAAACACTCAAAATGAATGTTCAACACCAAGGACTTCACTACGAACCTCACTAAAGATGAAAAAAAAAATTACGAAGAGCAAGGTATTGTATTCAATCACATTAACAATATTGGGGATCTGATTAAAGTTGTTACTGAACGCTGATCCTAATAGTACTGGGCGCAGACCTAAGTATAATTACTGGACGTGGAACTCTAATAGTAATTAAAACTGGTAACAAGTACTGTACACAGGTACACAAGGTGTAAGAGTATCACTGTTACATTGCGTTATTTACTTCAGTAAACGCATGGGAGAGGATATCCTATTCACTTCCTTAGAGTGGGACACCTACGTCAATTTTCATTAGTCTGAGAAATTGAACAAATCAAGTTGTTTAATTCTATTAAGTACACCAGTTGGACGCTCTGCTGATAGCGTTACAAGTGCGTCCCCTGCCCCCCCCCCCCACACACACAGGTGTGCAGCCTCGCAGGTGTGGTACACTCCCAGATGTAGAGACCATTCACACCTGGTACACACTGACACCACCCCCCCCCCCACCATGACCATTCACACACAAGCCTCGCCTGCGGGTCAGGTCAGAGCTGGGGGTCAGTGACACAGGATATCTGCATTACATTACCTACCCCTGTTCAATCATTTGCAATTGCTTGCTTTAACAACCTACCGTTATCATAAATCCCTGACCCCACACACCTTAGCTAAACGGGTGTGTGGAGCTAAACCTTGCAAATGGCAACAAGAATGCGAGAAAGCCTATTCCATTTAATTTTCTGTCGTTTCTAAATATTCTAGAAAATGTATGAACGTTAGCAGTTACCTAATAAAACTATACCCAGTAATCTAAAT